CTTCTGTACAGTTCTGTATATTCTTACTACATTCTCTGCATATTCTCCTGGTCTAACAGTGCGTTTCCTTGTTGTCTTTAGCATTCCTAATCTGGGTTTGAATCTCCTATTGATTCCTTGGATCTTTTGGAAGAGGTCTCTTGTTTTTCCCCTTTCATTACTCTGTTTCTTTGCACTGACCATTGTAATAGTTCTTTTTGTCTCTACATGATCGTCACTGAAAAGTTACATTCAGGATTAGTAGCACAACACAAAGAGTCATACATTACATCAGCACATCTCAGAAATCCTTCTTCTTGTGCAGGCTATTACTGCCATGAATAATTTTCCAAGGGAAATGGCAGCAGTCCCATTGGCCAAGTGTCTAGACAGAGCACTAATATCCGGTATGAAGCACAATCTTGCTTCCACTCATCAGAGGAAGAGATTGCATAGCCAAAATAATAGAGTTATACAAGAAGCAAATAAGAAGACAATGGCCTAACACTGGAGGCTTTGTCCTTTGCTGTGGAGCAGGCTGGTCAAAGAAAAAAGGGGAAAACCGTGGCTAAATGGGATGCTTTCAAACAAGGCAGGGCAACTTCAGTCCTCCAGGTTTTGGTGACTGGCAGTTTCCATTGCCTCCAGCTGGCATGTTCAAAGGTCAGAGATGATGGGAGATGTATGCCACAAGTTCACTGCCCCTATATTCAGGTATTTGGAAGAAAGCCCTACACCTAGGGTATAATTTAGGGAGGAGAAAGGGGTTTCTCTGTCCTCCCCATATTTCCAGCTCCATATTCGGTGAAAGGGCCATAGCTCAGTGGTAGAGCACCTGACCTGCATGCAGAAGATCCCTGTCTGAAACTCTGGACAGCCACTGCCAGTCAGAGTGGACAATGTTGGCAGATACTCATAGAGTTGGAAGGGCTCCATTAGGCCATCAGATTTGCCCCTTTGCTCAGTGCCGGAATCCAGCTGAACACCATCCCTGAACAACTGTGGTCCAGCCTCTGCATGAACACCTCCATGAATGAAGGCCCATTGCCTGCCTGGGTAGTTAGTTCCTAATGACTGACTCTTCCAGCAGTTAGGGTTTTTGAACTCACATGTGCTTTTCAGTAACTTAAGCCCATTATTTTGTGCCCAACAGTCTTGGATGGCAGACTGTGACCAACCCTTGAGGTACTTGAAAGCATCATCATCTCCTTCAGTCTTGGCTTCTCAAGGCTACACATGACCAGTTCCTTCCATTTTTCCTCCTAGGACTTAGTTTCTAGTCCCCTGATCCTCTTGTTGCCCTTCTCTGAATTCATTCCATTTTATCTAAATCCTCCTCCTCCATTGTTGCATTTTCTTATTATTATTTTATGCATTACAAAACTAAAACCTAACCACCCCTTGAAGATGAAAAACCCAACATAAATTAAAATATTCATTTTGGGGGATAAAAGACTTAGAAGGTCCATAACACTAAATACATATACGTTAGATATCCCTGGCTATTCCCATATAGCAGAACATAGCACAGATGTTAAAAATAATTAGGCATCAACTTCATACCTTCTTCATGTGTGGTGTTCAGAACTGGAAAGAGTATTTGAGGTGAAATCAGAGCAAAGCAGAGTCAAACTACTACTCCATGTACAGCAGCTTCCAGAGATCTTAAGGCAATGCCTTAGGAGCAAGCACCTCTGCCTCACAAGTTCTGCATACTGAGGAACAATCGCTATTCTGGCCTGCCACAACCTGGCCCTGCAGGTGTGTTGGACCAGGTTAGCTCCCAGCCAGATTGATTTTTTCTTTGCGCTTTCCTCTTCAAGATATCCAAGCTGCATTTTTCTTGGCTAGGTTCCTTTCTGTTGCACCATGTTTCTCCCTTCCTCTGAAATTTGAAGCGCTGCATGAAGGAAGAAAAGGCAGCAGATACAGGTACAGAACCACAGGCCAAATCTGGCCTCCCTGGGGTCCCAATCCATTTCTTTTGGATTCTTCCAATGGCCATCACCTTCACTTTCCCCTGCCTCCTTTCCCCCAAGCTTCTGTGGACAGGAATTAGATGGAAAGAGGTTCAAAAGTCTGGATTAAGAGAAGCAAATCTGCAATCAGAGCTGACATTCACCACAATGGATGTGAGAGAGCAGTTTAGTTTGCACGGACTGGAAAAAACTGAGATGGCATTTACCTTTGCTACCAACTGATACACCCCCTCAGTGAAGGACTCAGGAATCATCTAGCTTGGAAACTACCAGGGCCTGCCGAAGCAAAGGTCCCACTAATCCAGGACTTGGGGTTGGCAAATGTGGGGAGATTTGAAGTTAGACCTTTTAAGGACAATTTCAGAAATGAAAAAAAACAAAAAACAAAAAAGCACACTGTTATAGAGAGAACTTTTAATGTGTGAGGTTCTCAACTGCAACAATCAGACAAGATTTGCTGATATTGCATTTTTATAGGGAAAAAGTGAAATATACTACATGATGCAGTGGTGGGATGAGCAAGAGGGAACTGCAGCTAAATGTTGCAGCATGGAGTGCTTCCGATTCCAGACACTCTCTTCCATTGCCCAGTCTGCATTTTCCCAAAATGATTTTCTCACCATCCGCTTTCTGTAGCCACTAAACATGCTTGGTCCTCACTGGGCTGCTTTTGCGCACACACCCCCTGCACCAAGGTTCTGTCTCCCCATATTTTGTACTCCTGCCACCCCAGGTGTTCTCCCAAGAAGGCGATTGGGTGGTGGTCCTTGAACAGGCCCTCAGCTTAAACAGTGAAAATAAGTAGAACAACTGGAGGACAGAAGTGGGTTTGGGAGTGCTGTTCACTTGCTGCCTCTACCGTGGTTTCCTCAGGGGAGTTCTCAAATGCAAACTCACCACTAAAAGAGTGAACACTAACTGCATTGCACTAATTTTGCATCAGATTTGGCCCTTAGTGCACCTGTAGCTGTGGACTGGCATCACCAGCTAAATTCATCCTACACAATGTACCACTCGCTTTGGCTTATGATTCCATTTGCTCCGTTCTAAAGGCCAGGTAAAAAAGAACACCAGCAAGAGAAATTCAGTACAATACAGTTCCTCATGTAAGGGGGAAAAAAGCCCCATGCATCCAGAGTCCTGGACTGGCTCAGCAGTGCCTACAAAAAACAGGCCCAACTAAAATAAGCACTGCTACTAGACCTGCCACTCAATTAAAGCTAAGTATCCTTAACCAATTATTATCATTACACTGCATTTATATTTTCCTTTCCACATTTTTGCCTCTTGCAGAGAACTCAAGATGGCTTGCATAGCTCTGATTTAATTATAAGATTAATCACATCATTCAAAAAGGATACAAATTATAAAAAAGAGCCCATGTGATTCCTGTTGGACTGAGATTTGAAAGGTCCAAATTGTAGTTCCAATTGGGCCATGAGGTTTATTGGGTAACCTCAGATAGGTCACTAGCTCTCAGCCTAACCTACCCTACAGGGTTGCTTTGACGATAAAATGCAAAGAAGGATGAGGATTATATTATTTATCTGTATGTTTGTTTATTTTTTGATTTATATCCTGCCTTTTTCCTACAAAGGGCTCAAGGCAGCTTACATCATTCTCCTCCTCCATCTTATCCCCACAACAACCCTGTGAGGTAGGTTGGGCTGAGCGTCTGTGGCTGGCCCAAAGTCACCCAGTTGGCTCCATGGCTGAGCGGGGACTAGAACCCAGGTCGTCTGAACCCCAATCCCATGCTTTTTAACCACCACACCACACTGAATAATAAGCCATCTTGCGTTCCTTGCAGAAAAATAGGCAGGTTATATAAACAGCATAATAATTATGAAAAAAGAACTATTCTTTGTTTTTAGATGATACACTGATGTCTTACAACAAGTGCCATCTAAGGAGACAATTCCATTAAGAGGTAATCAACCCATGGATTTGAACTAACATTCTAATTACAAGCTTTTTAAAAAAAGAGCGCACTGTCCAATCAGCAGACCTTTTCACTGATTAAATGTTTCCATTTATTCATCCACTGATTAACTGACTGGAGATTGCAGTCCATGGTTTTATGGTTCTATAAAAACTATGCTCCACAACAGAATGCTGTTTTACTCAGAAGTAAATCCCAGTATAGCCAATGAAGATTCTTCTGGGTAAGCGGGTACAGGATGGCGATGGAAGGCTCTTGTCCTTCAGAATTTCTGAGTTCACCAACCGCAGTCACACTAAATGTTTCCTTCTACTAGGATAGACCTCTGAAATCTCTCTGCCTCCTGTAACCATTTCTTACAGCTGCAATCCAGGTGAGCTTCATAAAAGAGCATATCAGAGGCCTGCACACAGTCATTAGATAAGGAATACCATTCTGATGCATTGGTCTGTTAAAATGTTACCTGGTATTTGTGCAAGGTTTCAGCATGCACAGTAGAAAGAAGTCACTCAGTAGGTTGACTAATACGGTGCATATGTGTTTGCACACACAGCGGTTGTGCTTTGTTTTTTTGCTAGTAGTGATTTATAAGGCAGCTCTGTACCATATAGTTCAAAACAAACAGCGTTTGCCTCTTTTCTTGACCCAGCTTCTTGTAGAAAAGGAATCCTTAGCTAATTTTTAATGTGAATTCAGGGCAATACACACAATATATTCTGAAGTTTTCCTATACAAATGTCTTTGAAGTGAATCAGAGCTACCCAAGACTCCCTCTGTTCATTATGATGGGGAGGAACTTCCAAGCGAATGGCACCCACTGTTTTCACCCCCCCCCCCCCAACAATTGGCTAAACTTGATAACCAACTAAGGCTGAATCCTAAGCACACATACCAGAGAGCAAGTCCCATTAACTGCAGTGGGACCTTTCCCCAAGAAGGGATCCTCGTTGGAACAATTATTTGAATCTAACTTGGGTCTGCAGGGTCTGAATGACTAAAAAGAAGTTTTACTGGATTAAAGCCAGTGTTTGCCAGCTGATTTTTTTTTTCTTTGTAAGCATGCAGGTTGTCAGAAAGCGGAGTAATGGCACAAGACCCTATTATAAATTAACCATTTTATTGAATATCAATAAATCGCATATAATTATATATATAAATGTTTAAAATCAGTATAAAATTGTGGCACAAAAATATATAAATACCAGTGTACCTTTGAAATGTAAACATACCCTTTTCCTTTTCTTTTTTCCTTTTTTGTTTTGTTTATGATGTGGAAACAATGTACAAAAGAAAGATGCATTCAGCACCTGTCAATAACCATAAAGAGCTCTTTTGGCACACACCTGTCAAATGGGCAGCTCTCTCTGCACAGGCCGCTATTGTATCGCCTGACAAGTGCTTGCTATTAGTCACAGTTCTTTTGAAAAAGCAGTTGTTAAAAGAAGTCATATTAACAGGTGCTTGAGTGCATAGCTGCTCTGTAAACAGGAGTCGGTTTGAAACGGCTTCCCAATGCCTTCTGTAGACATTGTTAATCTTTGAGGCATTGCAAATTATCATTGTGCTGGTGGGAGAAACAGCTGCCTCCGAACTAATGCAATACTGTATTACTGCATAGTCACACCTTCCACGGGTGGGGTGCATAGAAAGAAAGAGTTAAAGGGGGTTTAACACTTTGCTTTTGTCTTTTGCTTAGAGGCATTAGTTCAGGGTCAACAGCTATGGTGAATCTATTATTCTCCCCCCAACACAAAAAAACCCCACCCCACCCCATAACAAAAATACTGCGATCCTTCAGGCCAGCTAGGTGCGAGGTTCAGTCCTGAACTTTCTTACACTTGTAAAAAATCTTTTTAAAGTAATCAAAATGGAGATGGCCACTAGCTTAGATGGCTTTTAAGGAAAATCCAGAGGCTAGGGGTATCCCATGGCTATTGTTAAACACCAAAGTCCAAGCAGAATCTGTATAGTCACTGGCGGTATGACTCAAAAGTACCAGATGCTAGAAGAAAGGGGGAGGGAAGAGGTAGCCATCACCTTGTGTGCTCCACCTGCAAGTTTCCGGCGGCATCTGGCTGGCTGCCACTGGGAGATGGAACGCTGCTCTAGACAGGCCCCAGACAGAGCTTTCAGTGGGAGAGTCATAATAAAACATCCGCTCACATGTGTCATTCTGTATGCCAGCCAGGGAAGGAAGAATGTAATCCTGCACTTGCCTGAATCAAGAAACAGTCTGCCACTGCCAGGGGAAGAGGGAAAGAGGATCAGGCTTTTAAAACTGCCTCAAGGAGAAAGAAAGAAGTATTATGTACGGTGCTTTAAGGCCCAAAACAGCTGGAAAATAACAGTTTGGTACATGCTGTCCTGGCAGTTCAATTCAATGGAAACTATCTTCCTACGGACACTAGATTACAATACACGTATTTGCATGGAGGAGTCTGTGGCATTGCTAGGGGACTCTCAGCGGGTCCCCGTGCAGCCCGTTTCTTCATGCTTATGGAGGAGTGACATTCGGGAGAAAGTCCGGGAGCAGGTTTTGCACTGGTACTTCTTGACATCTGAATGGGTCTGCAGGTGAGCACGGAGGTTCGAACGGTCAGCAAAGGCCCTGTTGCAGTGTGTACAAGAAAATGGTTTTTCACCTGCGGAAGAGAAAAAAGGAGCAAAGGATCAGAGGCAAAGTTCAAGCATGTTATAGGCTTACAAGAAAGTAGCTGAAGCAGTATGTAAATAGCTAGTCAGACCTCAATAGGGACACCTTAGAACAACCTTCCTTGCAACCCAGTGGCCACTGCTGCTGAGATTTACAGTCTAATGCATCTGGAGGGTACATGTACTGTATTCAGTCTTGCACTCCGCAAGCTATATAGAAATAATCTTACGCAGTGTGGCCAACAGAGCCGTGCCTCACTGAAACAGCTTTGCACCAGTTCTGAGCACAATTAATCGCTTGGGAAAATAATGTGATGAAATAATGTGGCTTATTTTCTTATAAATGGTTGCAAAATAGTTGATGGCAACTCCAGATCACAGTTACTCAGATCATAAATGTGTTTGCTCAGAAGCAAGTCTCAGGGCCAGATCCAGTTTGCAATAAGCACTTTCAAGCTCTTTTAATTTCAAGGGGACACATCACTTTCCCATTGAATGATAGGTCCTATTATGCCCATAGATTCTAATGAAACTTAGTTCCAGTTAAGGCAGCAAAGAGTGTCACACCAAGGGCCATATCCCATGCTAGTCCAACATAGACCAGACCTGCTGAAATAAATGAGATGTACGGCCAAGTTATTTTTCAGGCTGTATTCTATATAGGACTAACACTGCATGCTACCCAACAGTTGCGATCCTGTACACTAATCTGGAGAGTAAGTACCTTGAACCATAGCAGGCCTTACTCTTGAGTAAACAAGAATTGCACTGGACTACATGCATTTAGCCTAACTAAAGCAGCTAGTCAGTTCAGGATTCTCAGCTGACAGCACTGCATGACAATCCAAACCAATGGCATTAGTTCTGCATGGTATAAAAGGCAAATTATTTCATGCGCCAGCTTGGTACAGCACAAGGTAAAGCATTAATTGCATCTGTCTGGCAGCCAGCCGTCAAAGGCTCCCTGTTCCAAGTATAACCATTTCTTTTCCACAGTTGTATTCCTCTTCCTGATACCCCTCCGCCAAGCCCCCCTCCCCCCTGCTGAAAAGGCTAGGCAGGATGAATTCCTGTCAGATAAATTCTTTTGGAACCAGCAAACAGGCGGGCTCAATTTGGAAAGCACAATTAAGTCCTTTGGGCTTCCTTCAGGCATCATCTTTAGTACTTTTAAGAGGGTGTGAAATCAGCACCAAGTAACAATTAAACTCCCTCCCAAACAAGCACAAAAAGCTGCTTGGAGGGAGATGCATTTAAATGTGATACTCCTTGGATTAAAAGCTAAAAAAGCTTCCACAGGCTGGCAGCTGTGGAGTCTGGTGTTCAGCCCGGGGCATTACAGTAACAGGTGCACTGAGAGAGAAGAGGAGCATTGCTCCATTAAAGCACCTGCCTAGCCTGCCGGTCAGCTCCCCCCACCTTTCCAGGGACCCTTCCTCCCTCCTCCACAGTACCCTTAGGCAAACAATCCACATCAACAAGGACTAGAATGATGCATGGCCAACCACCTTTTGTGTTGCAGAGCAACCTTGGCATTCTTGAAGGGGGGAGGATTTGGATGTCAGAGGGGAAGTTTTAGAAGTCTGCAAGGCAGATGCTATGCTCAAATGAGGCAGAGTCTCTGCCACCCTGCAGTGCTTTAGCACCCTGCATTGTGGGAGCTACAAAAAACATTCCAGGGGGTGGGGGGGAGGGAAGTCGGGAGTCTGGCATTTCAACCTAAGATGAGTCCTTCCCTAGACAAGGCGAGCACACGCCTCAGCCATTGCACTGACATTACACATGCCCGCAGCCTTGGAGGACGGGGCTGGCACAGAGCCCTCGATTAGATGGTTCTTTGTGCACAGAATGACTCAAGAACGATTCACATGATGGAGCGACTGCTGAGTCGGCTGAGTGCAAGCTAAGTTTGCAGGCATGGCATCACTTCCCCTCCTCCAAGGATTGGATCGACCAAGCAAGGAAGCCCCGAAAGGGAGCAAGCCCAAGCTGTTGCCAGAAGGGCACAATTTTGCAGATGAGCTCTTAGACCTTGCTTACCAAAGGGGAATCGAATTGGGATGAATTTCAGGCTAATCTGGCTCAAAAGCACTAGCTTTTAATCTTGTTTATACATCAGCTGCTGTAGGATTTTTGACTGGGGGCAGCATAAGAATACTGATACTAGTAACAACAACAACGTGTTTGCTGCTTTGAGAAGGAGAGAAACCCTTTGGGAGAGAGCCTTATCTCCCTGGATAAGCTTGAAGGAGGCTGCAGCCTGCGGGGGGGGGGGGGAGTGAGGAGATAAGAGCGAGACAAACAGAGGAGGCAGCTTTACCCGTGTGTGTTCTGATGTGGCCCTGCAGGAGCCAAGGCCTGGAGAAAGCTTTGCCACAAATCTTGCACACGCAAGGCAGGGTATGGCTTCGGATGTGCATCTTGAGGGCTCCCAGGCTCACGTATTCCTTCTCGCAGTATTTACAGCTGAAAGATTTCCTGGCCTGGGAGTCACAGTGCAATTGTCTGTGCTTGGAAAGGCCGGCAAAAGTCGAGTAGGACTTGTTGCATTGGCTGCAGTGGAATTTCTCTGCTTCGGTGGCTGATGAAGCTGGACTGGGAGGGTCAGAGGTCGTCTTGCCATCCTCCTCTTCACTGGACAGGGAGGTCAGGTCCAGAGGTTTGGAGTCAGGGCTTGGGGGAGAAGCGGTGCTTTTCTTGTACTCCGGCTCAGAGGTGAAGAAATTTGAGAGAAGCCCCGAATCCCATACAAGTGGAGGGTAGTAGTGGCCCGTACTCAGGAGATCCGGCTGGGGGATGATGGGCAGGGGGTACTTCTCATAGAGGAATGGAGAGACAATCACTGGAAAGAGAGTCAATGATTATAATGCAAGCATGCAAAAGTGGGGAGGGTTTAGGCAGGTTCCCCTCCCTCCATTATTATCTGTTGGCCTTTATTCTGGCATACATCAAGGTGGGTCACCCAGACTCCACTCCCCGCCCCCCTCCAAAGACAGATCCCTCCTCCTGTTCCAGCTCTTAAGTCTCAGTTACTGAATGCATGATTAAGAAGAACTATGTTCTTCTGACCATAGGAAGAGTACAAACTGAGCAAACAATGATGACCTCCCTTGCACCCCGGATCCAGGGAAAGAACTAACTTAGGAGCAGTCGACAGAGGGCATGCTCTATACAGGTCTGCTCAGAAAGAAGTCGCCAGTGGGACTTACATCTAGCTTGGTATGTCCAGCAGCCTTTCCCCAAGCTGCGCACACCAGAGTTTGAACTGCCACTTCCACCAAGCCCAGAGAGCCGAGCTAGAGGTCCAGAACTCTGGGAACTGGAGTCCAAAACCTCTGAAGGGCACAAGGCTGGAAGAAGCTGAAATGCTGTGGAGGCTGCAGACGTGGCTGGGGCCGGTGATGCCCATTCACCGCACTCTCCCTTGAACTGGCAATCCTCCTCTCTCCCCGCTCCACTTCCGTGCTGAGCCCCAGGGCAACGGCATCAGCGCCCGGGTGGCTGGCGGTTACTCCTCCCATACCACACAAATGCAAACACAGAGCCTTGCAGATGGGCAACTGTGGACCAGCCGCGGATGCGCGCCGCAGCCTTCCTCGCAGGGTTGTTGTGCGCCGAGCCACGGAGAATAGGCCCGTGCAAGCGGGCCTGGGCTCGCCGGTTTGCACCCGGGAGGAGCAGTTGGCGGCGGGCACCGGTCTAGCGAACGCGCCCGGCGCGGCCTCGGGCCCTCTCCGTGCAGCCACGTGCGCCAGCGCCGGGCACACCGACAGCGCGCCGGGCCGCGCCGCCGCTCGGGCTGGGCTTCCTCCCGCTCGGCGGCGCCGCCGCGCCCTGCGCGCCGTCCCTCCCCGCCCCCGGTGCCGGCGCGCCGCGCCTACCCGTCTGGCTCTCCAGTTCGCTGTAATTGGGCTTCTTGCTGGCCGAGAAATGCTTCTTGACGAGGAACGAGCGGGGCATCTTGCAGGGGAGGCGGGCGAGGCGTCGCGGCGCCGGTGGAGCGAGGGCGGCTCGCGCGGCACACCGCGGCTGTGCGTGCAAGGCTGCGGGCTGCCTACGTCCGCGCTCACGGGGCTGCGCTCTCGGCGAGCGGAGCGCCGGCGCCACGGACTAATATGGCCCGGGCGGCGGGGGGCGAGGCTGATCCGCCCCCCCGTGTGACTTGGCAGCCAATGGTCAGAGGCGGGGAGGGGTCTGGCGCCTTCAGCTGGGCCAGCAGGTGCTCCGCCAGCGGATCCCGCTCGCCAGGAGCGGGGCTCGCCGGGGGAGGGGCGGAGGGCGCTTTGGGGCGGACGGGGGCACGTGCGGAGCCCAGCCAGCCCTGGCCCGGGGTCGGTGGACGAGAGCGCCCGAGTCGGCTCATCAAAGGCAGCGCGGTCTCGCTTTGAAGGGAACTCTCGCCCCCTCGACAAGACCAGGCGCACCCAGGACGTTTGGGTGTCGGGGCGCGGAGGTCCTGCCGTGCGCTCCCCCCGTGCTGCGATACCCCCACTCCCCTCCCGTCCGGCGTTGATCTGTGCGGGGTTTTCGGGGAGGGCGGGGCGAGAATCCATCGTGGCTTTTCCGAGGCTTCCTTCCGAAATTAAGGCCGGGGGTGAGGGCCACCGAACTCAGTGGGGCTTACTTTTGAGGAGACACGTACCAGCTGGCACTGTAAGTGTGCGCAGCTTGTGCCCCCTGCCCTGTCCCCCGCCCGTCGATTCGTTAAGTTATCTCTTTCATTTGCAGTTTTCACTCGCTTTGGCTGCGGGAAAGTGGAAATAGCTGTACCTACAGGGGCGCGTAGCCAAACTCCGCGCTGGGCCGCGGTGAATATGGTGATTCCGCTTCTCCTTGTGCTGCCGGGGTCGTGGCGAGCAAAGGGCTCGGGTCCCCGCAGGATGCAGGGAAGTGGCAACCCCTGCCTTCTGGGAGGGAGGGTTGTAAGCCGAGCCCAAAGGACGAGGCTTGCTATAAAGCCAGTGAGGACGATTTCTTAGAAGCGAAACCGGGGAACGCATCACTTCCAGGAGGGGCCCGCTAAGCATTAAACGGGTGGCGGTGGTGTTCAAAAGGACACTTCCTCCCAACACGTGTCACCGCCCGCCCGAAATAGGGACCGTGCGGCCACCATCTTCCTTGAAGGAGCTCCGCCAGCTGTGCGCTTCTAGGGTGCCTCCCTCATCGAGCCCTTCCTTCCCAGCCATTCAGTGTCGCCGTTTTCTGTCCAGCTGGCCGCTTCTCGCTCCGGGCATCCCTTTCTTTTCCGCGCCTCCCCCCCCCCCGCCGCCTTGCAGTGATTGGGAGCCACGTGGAGTTGGCTTCCAGCGCCTGCGGCAGCGGGGCACGCAAGCCCGCGCACGCCCGCCCGTCGCCACCTGCCCGCCCCGCATTCCAGGACCTGCAGATGCGCCTGTCTGAGAGAGCCCGCTGGGCGCGGGGGGGGGGGGGGGCACAGAAAGGCCTGGCTCGCTCGCCTCCCGGTCAAACGAAGGGGCGAGGAAAGAGGAATGGTGCGGACAGGTGAAGGCTTGCGCCCCAGTGTCTAGACGCCCGTAGGATTCCACCCCAAATCAGTGGGGCAGGGCTGGCAGAAAGAACTCCGTGCTGTTCTGCGTAGACGGTACCGGCAGGGGTAACTGGATTTTTCAAATGCAATTTTCAGCCACTTATTTCCCCCCGCGCGCGGTAAGCTAGGTGGCTGCCACCTCTGCCCATTGTTTTAAACTGTAAAACGTTTACAATTGCATTTTTCAGCTTTGCAAACCGGGGCATTTCCCCTTTTCGAGGCCTCCCCCGAACTTTTAGTCTGGCTACAGGTTTAGGATGCCGGTGTCCCCACAAGCCGCGAACCTCATTTTTTGCCCAGTTTTTCAAATAATCTGGCCAAAAGTTCAAGAAGCTGCACTTTTGCAGGTTTCTCCCGCATCCAACGGGAAACGGGGGGCGGGGCGGGGGCGCGGGCTATCTCTGCTGGGACACCAGCGCCCTCGCCAGGTTTCTCAGGAAATGGATCCGCTCAACGAACCCCTCAATCTGAGACTGAACACGACTGTGGCTCTTCTCAGCACATTTACGTTTTAGCAGGCCTCTCTTGTGCGTTCAGGATGTTACACGGCCTGTTTGAGCTTCCCTCGGCTCGTGGCACATACACAACCATCCGCACTGAGGTGGGCACACGTCGCAATGAACGCTAGAATTTACTTCTGAGTTGTGCAGGATTGCACCGCTTAGCTACTTGAATTCAGAGTTGATTGCCCTGGTTGATTCACCCGCGAATGGGTTGTTAAAATCTCAGCATTCTGCATATTATCAGATCCTCAGCACGGTCACTGAAGGAAGGATAGGATATCTCTGAGAACAAAAAGCAGGTGCTGCCAGCCTTATGCATACTTATTTTGCAATTTAATACAAGTTGTGTTGGTTCATATATACTTATCAGTGTTCAAAAGCACCAGCAATAAACTTTATTAAGACCAATTAACATTTCAGAAAAAAATGAGGCACTTTTGAATTTATCACAACTGTTCTGCCTTAAGTCTAAGCCACAGACTTTACGAAAAACAAAACACAAAACCTTTGAAAAGTGGCTGTAAAGGATGTGATATACTAAGAAGAAAACATACCTGCCTGCATGTTATAATCTTGAAATAGAAAGAGGGAAACATTAAGCAGACTTACAGGGCAATCATAAATGTATCTACTCAGAACTGAAGCCCATTGAGACCAATAGGAAGATTAAAAACTTAAAGGTGCACACTTAAGGTTACAATGCTATGCATGTTTACACAGAAACCACCCCCTGCAGTTTCCAGCATGGCTGTCTGAAGGAATGCTCCGCGTTGTAGGACTTCTGACTTTTATCTGTCTCTCCCCATATTCCTACCTGCCCACTTAGATCCTGTCCTCTGAATACCACCCCCAGTGAGATCAAGGGGGAAATGCCTAGGATGGGGGGGGGGGCATTTTCTGAAGTGGTGCCCAGACTCTGGAATTCACTCCCCAGGGACATACTCTGCTTTTCTTTAGACGCCAGTAAAAGCGTTTTTGTTCAAACAAGCTTTTGGTTAATTTAATTTATAATGTATATTTTGTTATTGATTATTTTTATTTTGGCTGTGAATTTATTGGTTTTATTTTGTCATGCTGTGTGCAATTTTTATAATTTACTAATTTTATTGTTTTATCTGTTTTATCAACTGTATTTATATGCTGTTTTCAGCATTTGTAAGCCACCCAGAGAACTTTCAGGTTATGGAGCAACAAAGAAGTGGAATGAAATAAATAAATAAATAATCATGCATAGGATTCCAGTTTAACTAGGTTAGGCCAAGCTAAAAGAACTTCCATTCATATTTTAGAAGAAAATGTCAACTGTGATATTTTCTATTCTTGTCCTATATTATGCTAACACAACAAAACTAATATGTCATATATTGCAGTCATATAATTTCAAATGTGTCTAAACCGATTTAAATTCTGCCCCCTTCACATTGAATGAACTAAAATTTGGGTTGATTAAACTGTCAGGTAAATCCATTCATGGGGCAATCCTAGTAAAATAATTTACCTTTACAAAAAGAAAACACCAAAATAAGGAGGAGGCTACACTAAAAGCCAAGCAATATGTTTGTAGGAATGACAAAACTGCACTATGATGACTACAGTGGATCATATTTAAAGGGTTTTTAAAAAGCTGGACACACTAATCGCTCATGAATTCCATTGGATCAGTCAGATGTGTGCAAGAGCATGTCCAGTGCACTCCCACCAAAGTAAACACCTTTGAAACCACCCTCTTCTTTGGAAGGGGAAAACATCCTTTGTATGCATATGCAGCTTTAGGCCCTTTTCAAATAAGAGTGGGGGAAGCAATGCCATCATGTTGGTTGCTCCTATTGTGTTAAAGTGTCCCAGAAATGAATATAATTAGCTGTTGTCAAAGCCGGTTTGCATTACTTAAACAATGACCAGCAGTCATAAAACTAGATAACTGTTGACTGAAAGGCTGAAGCTGGTTGCTTTTATTTGGATTGTTTAAACTGAACTACAAAGGATTTATAGGAGGGAAAGATTGTCTAATTTAAGGTGAGAAGGAGAATGGCTTTGGGATATATTGTTAAAGACTTGTAAATTTTGTCCATTCTTAATAAAAAGCTATTGATCAAGATTCTAAGTAGCAGGTCAGTCTTCAAGAGTGAATAATGGCAATGTGACTTCATGAAGGGTATGTAAACGATTGTGCATTATCATGTGCGAGCAAGAATCAGGTGACCCACTCACCTTGCTCAGGTGAATCAGGAAAATTCTGGGCAGGGACAGTGATAACTTCATTGTCAAAGAAACCTGTTAGGGGATGATGTCAGCCACTGCAGAATCATGTGTCCCTAATGGCATCAGCCACCTGTAATCCAATCACCCTCAGTCGCCAATGCAGCTACTAAAAGGAATGCAGATTGCAATTGCACAACTGCAGTTCTCACCACCGTTTAAGGTCTTCCTTTTTAAAGAAGAGGAATGGATTGATGGATCTGGAAGGTTTATCGCCAGGGATATCATAGATCCAGATTTAAAGTTATGGTGTGTCCCTTATGAGGGTTGTCTTCACCCCCCCCCGCCCCAATTCAGACATGTTTCTCTCGTTGCATCTGATCCCCACCTATCTGCCTCAAACAGTCTGATTAGAACCCCATTCATGCAACAGACACAACGGTTATCACCTAATGTGAGGACAGTGTAAGGACATTCCATGCAGATCCAATGTAGTATAACAGTGAGAGCAGCATTTTCCAACCTGGTGCCCTCCAGACATTTTGGACTGCAACTTCCATTATTCTGTCATAAACACATTGATCTCTCAATACAATATTACTGATGAAAAGTTAGGCTGTTCCATGCATACAGATGATTTTTTTCTTTTTGGTCCCTCTGAGATCAGTAAAATTTGTTGGATCTATCTCTGCACCATGCTGTTGTCTTTAAAAGTACAGTCTTATGTTGGTTTTCCTGGACATAAGTCATAATCACCAGGTTCTTTCATCTCCATCATAGGTTGCTCCAAGCCTAGAGCATTTAAGCATGGTTTGCTGTTAGGTTAACCACTGGG